GTCAAATTCGTGTCTCTCCGTTTTAGAGACACGGATGTCATGTGGGACACTGTCAAACACTTTGCACAAGTCCAGGAAAATGACATCCGTTGCTTTTCCCATGACAACCAGCACTGTAGCTTTGTCATAGAAGGCCACTAAATTAGTCAGGCACGACTTACCCCTAGTGAAGCCATGCTGGCTGTCACCAACCACTTGATTATTTTTTATGTGCCTTAGTACAGCTGCCAGGAGAATCTGTTCCATGATTTTACCTGGCATAGAGGTAAGGCTGACTGGTCTGTAATTACCTAGGTTGTCCTTGGTCCCTTTTTTAAAGATGGGGGTTGTATTCACCCTTTTCCAATCTGTGGGAACCTCACCAGACTGCCAGGACCTCTCAGATATGATGGCCAGTGGCCTAGCAACTTCAGCCACCAGTTCCTTCAGGACCCGTGGATGTATCTCATCAGGTCCCATGGACTTGTGCACCTTCAGGTTCTCTAAGTGTTCCCGGACCTGATCTGCTCCTACCCTGGGTGGCTCTTCACTCTCCCAGACCCAGCCAACACTCTCTGTGATTTGGGTGGTGTGGGTCAAGTGTTGCCAGTGAAGACTGAGGCAAAAAAGTTGTTGAATATTCCAGTCTTCTCCATGTCCTCGGTAACCAGGTCACCTGTATCCTTCCGGAGAGGCCCCACATTGTCTCTCGTCTTTTTTCTCTTGTGTATCTGTAAAATCCTTTTCTATTATTTCCAACGTCACTGGCCAGATTTGACTCTGTCAGGGCCTTAGCTTTTCTAACCTGGTCTCTGATTACACAAGCAATTTCCTTGTATTCACCCCAGGGTACCAGTCCCTGCTTCCACGCTTTGTGTGTTCCCCTTTTGTATTTGATTTTCACCAGGAGTTCTTTGTTTATCCATACAGGCCTCCTGGTGGTTTTGCCTGATTTCTTCCTTCTAGGGATGCAATGCCGTTGAGCTTGGAGGAGATGACCCTTGAAAGTCAACCAGCTTTCTTGGGCTCCTAGTCCCTCCAGGGCTTTATCCCATGGCGCACTACCAAGAAGGTTCCTGAAGAGGTGAAAGTCAACTCTTCTCAAATCAAGGGTTATCAAGCTTGCTGAGCTTCCCCCTCTTAGCTGCCCTTAGGATCTCATGGTTACTGCATCCAAGGCTACTCACGAGGTTAACATTACCCACCAGCCATTCCCTATTGATGAGAACGAGGTCTGGCATGGCACCTCTCCTCATTGGTTACTCTATCACTTGGATAAGGAAGTTATCATCAACGCATTCTAGGAATCCCCTGGATTGCTTGTTCCCTGCCATGTTTTTCCAACTGATGTCATTTGAATCCCATCTGGTTTTAGTGGACCAGGTGCCGTGTAGATTTCCCCATGGTTAAAAAACCCAAAGCTAGACCGTTGGCACCACCCTTTTAACCAAGTATTAAGCTGCTTCACTTTTTTGAACCTTCCACTATTTTTCCTGGTAATTGAAGGAATGGAAGCAAACACAACCTGTGCACCTGATCCTTCAAGCATCCGTCCCAGTGCCCTAAAGTCCCTTTTGATTGCTTCTGGCTGTCTCTCTGCTATCTCATCATTACTGATCTGCATAACCAGAAGCAGGTAATAATTAGAGGGTTCAACCAGACCTGGAAGCTTCTTAATAATATCCTTAATCAGGGTCCCAGGGAGGGAGCAGACTTCCCTGTGGGTTGGATCTTGGAGGCAGATAGGGCTCTCTGTTCCCCTCAGAAGGGAGTCTCCCAGAACAATTACCCTCCTTTTTTTTTTCGACGAAGAAGTCCTAATGCTGACTGATTCACCCTTGACAGCCCTGTGGATGAACCTCCACCTGTCTCTTGCTTTACCTGGCTCTCATTGTCTAGAGCCCCATACCTGTTTTGCAAGGGCGGCCATTTGCTGCAGAGACCAGCTTCAGGGGCAGGTAAAACTGTGCTGGGGAAGGGATCTACAGCAAAAAAGGCCAACAAAAGAGCTCTTTTGGGGGCTTTTCTTAAGCCCGGAATAGCGGCTTGCCTGTGCCGGGGGCCAGTAGCTGGAGGGTGGGCAGCCGAGCTAGCATGGGCGGAGCCACCATCAGCTGCGGGTCATCTAAACGAGACATTAGCGCTGTTAACCAGCCGCTAATTGTGTACCTTAACGGTAACAACGTTAACCAGCCGTTAATTGTGCCCTGGGTATAAGAAGCCTTGGGGAGGGCAGGGACTAGTCGCTGCCTACGGAACACAAGGCAATAAACGGTAAGTCGGTGTTAACAGCGGAATACTTAAACGTGCTGAGAGATCTCTTGATTGCAGAACCAATTATGGTTGCAACCCGATCAAAGGCCATTAGAAAAACTGTGGGCACCCAGACAAACGCCCCATGCAAGCATGCGGGTGTTCAGGCCTCAGGCTGCAGAGAGTGCTGGAGAAGAGCTAATTCTATTCAAAGAAAAAGAAAAAGTACTATGATATATTAATTATCCACTGGCTTAAAAAATAGTCTTATGAAACCAGAAGCATCTTCTGAATTTTAGCTCTTTCTTGGATCATGGTAAAGAAACACATTGCATGCTTCCAATAAAGTTTTTCCTTTATGATCTGTCAAATAATATAGAACAAAGTATCAAAAATACTCAGAAGAATCTACTATGTGTTTATATAGACTAGAACTATATAATTAATTTCTGAAAATTAGTCAAAACTAGTATTTAATTTGAATAGTGCTAAATTTCACTGTCTGTGTAAAATTTCCCAAATATTTTTGTTATCTAGGGAGAAAAATCTTTCCTCCTCACACAATCTGCAAGCACCAGAATAACATTCTAATTAGTTGTACAACTAAATTGATATATTTTCAACTAAACCCTCAAGTTGTAAATCCTTTTTTTGCATATACTTGGTCAATTTACATTCAGCCAATATTTAATCATGCAAATCAATTCCACAAAAGCCACAAGACTTTAAAAAGACAAGAGACAGCTACAGGTGCTTTAGTTCTAACCCACCTGAAGAATTACTGGAATTAAGATACAGACTTAATTAAACTCTTGAAGTTATTTTCACTATATACCAAGCAAAGCTTACCGATGTAACATGAGATACATCTGTTGAAGCGCTCGCAGAATTCTGTGGACCACCCATATGCATCTTGCTGATATGTGTATTTAAGCTACCCAAGCTTTTGAAGACACAACTACATTCTGTACAGTTGTACGTAGGACCATTCTTCACCTGTAATAAATAAAAAAATAATTAAGTAAATTTCCCCTACATCTATCATATACTATGTTTTTCATTATTTATCCACATAAAAAAATATTCTATGGGATTGTGAGACCTAAAATGGTTTATTCTTCCAAGTAACTGCTATTCAGTTACAGAATCAGTCTGGTATCTCTCGGATTTCAAGTCGACTCAAGTTGCACCCTCAAAGTTTGCAGATGACACCAAACTGGGCAGGCATGTTGATCTGCTTGAGGGTAGGAAGCCTCTAGAGAGGGGCCTTGAGAGGCTGGGTTGATGGGCTGAGGCCAACTGTATGACGTTCAACAAGGCCAAGTCCTGTCTTTGGGTCACGACAGGCAATGCTACAGGCTTGGGGAAGAGTGGCTGGAAAGCTGCCTGATGGAAAAGGGCCTCGGGGTGTTGGTCAACAGCCAGCTGAGCATGAGCCAGCAGTGTGCCCAGGTGGCCAAGAAGGTCAACAGCATCCTGGCTCATATCAGAAACAGTGTGGCCAGCAGGCCCACAGAAGTGATTGTTCCTCTGTCCTTGGCTCCGGTGAGGCCGCATCTCAAACCCTGTGTTCAGTTTTGGGCCCCTCACTACAAAAAAGACATTGAGGTGCTGGAGCGTGTCCAGAGAAGGGCAACAAAGCTGGTGAAGAGTCTTCAGAACAGGTCTTAAGAGGAGCATCTGAGGGAACTGATGTTTAGCCTGGAGGAAAAGAGGCTGAGGGGAGACCTTATCATTCTCTACAACTACCTGAAAGGAAGTTGTAGCAAGGTGGGGATCTGTCTCTTCCGACATGAAACAAGCGACGGGACAAGAGGACATGGCCTCAAGCTGCACCAGGAGAGGTTTAGATTGGATATTAGGAAAAATTTCTTCACCAAAAGGATGGTTAAGCATTGGAACAGGCTGCCCAGGGTAGTGGTCAAGTCACAACCCCTGGACATATTTACAAGACATGTAGATGAGGTGCTTACAGACATGGTTTAGTATTGGATTTGGCAGTGCTAAGTTAACAGGTGGACTCAATCTTAAATGTCTTTTCCAACTTAAACAATTCTATGATTGTATGAACTTTAATCTATGTGTATGACTGCGATCTCCCATTACCACTCTTCAATGTTAAGAAGCACCAGAGAGCAAAACAAACATCATCTAAGCAAATGAGGCCTCAGACTTCTCCCCCCTTGCAATTTCCTACTGCTACACACTTAAAACTAAAACGCAACTTAAACAAAATGTGCCTGAAGATTTAACATTGTCCGAAATACGAAAGGAAGTTTCAAAATATCAAGAGAAAAAAATGCAGATAATGTAGCTTCAAATCTTGACTCTCTTCTGTTTACTTTTGAAAAAGCATCTTCTATAAACTTCCAAGAAAAAATAAAATGTGTTTTTCAGCTCAGAGCAGAATGAAAGCAAGACAGATTGGGCCAAACATTCATAGGGAGTGCATGAAAAGAAACCTGAACAAATCAAAACAAAAAATCAATATGGTGAAGGGTAAGGAAGTTTAATATATAGTTTGAATTTGTTTGGGACTTTCATGCCAAGAAGTCAACGTAATTAAAGCAGCCAGATCTGTAGATTCCAACCATCCTCATTCTGACCTCCTCCTCAGTCTACTACACTGCAGTAAGATCCAGTGCAGTACTTCTAATATAATAATTACGTCTTCAAAAGGAAATACACTTCACTACTTGGAAAACAGTAGGCAATTTCGTGTTTTCTGACATTAACTGGTAACAAGATTTCCAAGAAAGAGGTATCAACTAATAAAATACTCATATAACTAAACAGTGGCATACAAAGTGAGAATCACTGTATCTCATTAACACCTGTAATGGTACTTTCTGACTGTCTCATGATAAAATGAAGTAGTTCTGCATGCAGTCTTGAAGAAAACACAGCAACAGTAAGAAAGGAAAAAATCCACAAGTGATCCAAAGCAATAACCAAAATGTAGGCTCAGGATCATCAAACACAGCATAAGATGTGACCAAAACTCAACATTTATTTGAAGTCCCCTATCCCACAACTTTTTTTAAACAGAAAAAGATAGTAACAATGAAAGAAGTGAAAGATATTTTTGGATTGATCTCCGCCAATCTTATACTATTGAAAAACATCAATATAATTAGTGCGTTTTTCTTACGTAGCAAAAGGTATCACATAGAAGGAGCTGTGAACAGTGAGAAAGATTAGTCACATAAAGTTATATGAAATATAAACATATGATTTAATGTAAGTAATGCAACACAAACCACTCAAACATATCCATATACTAAGACATATTCTAAAAGTAAAAAAGTAAGAAACTAATAAACTAAAATGATCCTTAGTAAAAATATCCAGTAAATAAAATCTACCATAATACAAAATGGGAAACAAGAAAGTAAATCTCAGACAGAGTTAGGGCAAAGTGTGAGAACAGAGATGATATTCAGCACGCAGGAGAAAAAAAGGTTAAAATGCTGCCTCTATCACTTCATACCTTCTAAATCAAAACTAGGTCTCTTTCTATGGGTATTTCCAACCACAGATCACTAAAGTGAGCAAGAAAATTACTGAACAAAGTTGCATAGCCAATGTTGCTCAGAAGATATTACATTATCATAACAGTACCTTTTGAATCTTGAAAGTTGTCTGTCACAAAGAGGAAGAAAAAATCTGCATAAACAGGTCTGAGACTATAATGGTTTTTTATCCTATTTTGTAATTTTCTTCTACCTGTAAATTAAATACCTCTAAAAAAGGCTGTAGGATATACACTTCAAAATCAAATTGAGAGTATTCTCTATGATGGAGTTAGTGGGTTGCTGTTTGGCCTTGAAATCTTTCACCATTTTCTGCTTTGCTGCTTTTGGCTTACTTGCATTTGATTCTAGCCCTCGTTCTTCTAAGACTGACATAGGTATATTTTTATACACCTAAACCCAGTAATAATTTATTAATCTTTCACTGTACTGAAAAGATAAATTAAATGAAGGTTTTGCCACTTTATCCTAAGAATACATTTATTCAGATTAAGCAATTTTAGGAAAGCTTGCAGGTAAAACCAACAAACTAGAATCTTACTACAGCAGTAAATCTATACTGGCTACAGAAAGCAGCAGAGAGCACAGAAACAGCAAACAGGACAATTTAAACACTGAAAATGAAATAAGCAGTATATTAGCACCAACCACTTTATGAATAATCGTATTTACCTCTGAATGAACTCTCTGTATGTGTGACTGAAGATTGCCTTTCTGAGAAAAAGCTGCAGGACAAAAGGCACAAGCATGGGGTTTTTCACCGGTGTGCTTGATCATATGGGTCTGCAATGCCCCCTTCTGGTTAAAGGCTTTTCCACATTCACTGCATTTGAAAGGTCTTTCACCTGAAAGGTCAAAAAGACAAGGCAAAAGCATTTAAACAAACACTAGCATCTTCTTGTACCCACACAAAAAATTATACCAGCTAAAATAAAATATTACATATAGATATCTGTACATACACAAACAGAGAAACATACATTATTAAGTGTTTTGTTTAATTAAATTGTTTAGCTTGACCATCAGTCTCAGGATCTACTCTGATGAAGGTATAGCTCTGTGAAAAACTTTTATGATCTAGCTGAGGATTATCAGTTAAAATGGGTAAAATAAACTAAACCTGTATGAAACAATGATTTAGAACAGCTTCCCACAATCTGTGGTTTGGAAGATGCCAGAAGGTGTCACAAAAAACCACTGGAGGAAAAGAAAAACCAAAACCACATACACCATTCTTTTATACCAAATCCTGTAAAATGCATATACACAGAAACAAATGGGAGCAGAAGGTAGAATTGACAGTAATAAATATCTAACAGTCCAAAATTTAGCCTTTTATTTAGTTTAAAATCAAAAACTCTTACAGTAACACTGCGAAAGAGCCTACGGTTCCCAATCTCCAATAAATACCAATACTAATTCATTCCTTATAACCACCTATTGCAAATGTGCAATAAAAGAATGATTTTATTATATGAGATATTGTACAGTCCTGCTCAGTACATAATTTTAAAGCCTTGAATGTTCATATTACTACTGAATACTAAAGAAAAAGTAGGCAATATTGTTGCAGGAATGCTCCATCACTTTTTACTGATTTTGGTGTTCTCAGTGCTGTGCATACTTAAAGCTATTTGTGCAGTAACAGCTTTTGCATAAAAACTCCCCAGAAACTGTGACAATACATAATAGAACTGCACAAACATATTAAAAAAGCTCCATATTTGAAACATGCAGATACTAAGACCAAAGTTCAAGTTTCTTACAACCACGTGTCTTAACTGACTACTGGAAATCTCCCCTGTGAACTCAGTATTTTTTTTTTTTTTCTCTCAGTGAAATACTTGAGCTCTGGTAACACTAGGACCCTGAAAGCATTTAACACTTTGCATTTGCACATTTCTATAGCAAAATCACTATGAGCATAGTGTATATTATGTCTGCTACATCAGTATGTGCTAAATATTATGTACACTAAAGCAGTTAAAATGAATATTTTTATGTGACTTGTAAACTCTAGTTTAAAATGATTAATTATTAAATTTGCTTTTGAAATAAGAGCAGCTACTTTCTGAAACATTTCAAGCACACAACTATCAAGTCTGAAGGAATGTATATTTTCTGCTGTTCACGGCTTTTGAAGACACTTTAAGGTCTTCAGGGTTTTTCTGTATTTTAATCTGTATTTACAAATATACAGTTGGCATTCATTTAGATCTTACTGAAATACAGTGACAAAACATATACTGGGCTTTCACAGGTTAAAGGCTTAGCTTCCACTAACAGCTGTTGGTGGACACAGAGAAGTATTGCTTCAGGTTAAGTCTGTAAATTTAATTATAAAACCAATCTTAATTATAGTGTGGAAATTTGGAATTTCTGTATTTCTCAGGTATAACTTCATAAAATACAGATTTACGAGGGGGAACAGCAAGTTCATTACTTAGTTATTACTATGGAAATTATAATCCCTGAGACCCTGAGCAAAAAAAAAAAGTACTGTAATGAAGACACTAAGGTAATGCTGTTACCTGTAGCACAGACATGCTCTTTTAACAATCAAAGACCTAGATATTCTGAATTCTTCAAAGCAGCATTCTTCTTGCTTACGTATTTTTCAGTACCTCAAGCAACTGGATGCCAGACAGATTGTCTGCAGATTTGAAGCAGGAACATGTTTCACAGCTCAGAGTGTTCACCAGCTACAGTCATGTGCAGACTGGGATTACATTTTCTGTCTCTGGTTTCCCAATAGACAAACATATTTTTATTCTTCAAGAGAACTATAAATGCTCTTCACTCTTTTGAAGCTTTACAAAAGCATCCTCAATAAATTATAATTTTGTTTATTTTTGACAAGAATAAGATAAAAAATAATGTATCAAATAGATACAAAACTCTACAATAAGAAAGTTGATTCGCAATTACTTTTTCTGAATATTACTTCGAGGCAACTTTTAAAGCTGGTACAAGGGTGACCTCTTGTGTTACTGTTTTACAATTAAATTATAAAGCTTAAAAAATTCCTATGAGTCACGCAATGGAATTTTCATTACTCCCTTGGCAAAATCATTCACGCACATAGCAAATCATATCACTGCCTGAACAGGCCGCTACTACAAACAACACTGCACACTTACATAATTCACTACTTAACTAGTGAAAATCTGGATAAACAGCAGTTTTTTCACAAAATGGAAAATACATATATATTGCACATCACTGAAGCACCTCCGATGAACATTTCGTTTAAAGTCAAACTTATACTACATATGTCTGGTTAAAACTTCAAAACTATTCTTACAGTCCCTGGTACACCTCAAAAACTTTCCTGTTATTTTATACTTAGCATTTTTCAGTTATTGCAATTGCTCAAGGGTTATAGAAATGCATGTGTGTATTACAGTAATTTTGTAAAAACCCTCTGCTATTGATCCTGCAACAACGAACAGTCACCTGTTCGTATTCAAGTAGCAAAATTACAATGTAGGCTTAACACCTCCCCCCTCAGTTCACTTTGGACATCCTGAAAATGGCAGTTGCAGTATATACAGAAAAAATATGGCAGTAACTGTAAATAAACCAATCTAAAACCAAAAGCAGGGCCACTATGTTAGTAGTATTATTCGTTCTCATGTATTCTACTCTTTTTGTGATTGTAAATTTTAGAACCTGTTCTCAATCTTATTTAGACTACCTGAATGGCCCTTATCTAGGTGTTTTGATTTTAGGGAACAAATGAAACCCGTAATGTACTTAAAATTTCCAGATGTATACCATAAGAAGCAATTAATATGATTTTTTAAAAGCATAAAAATTTCCTAAGCAAAGGAATTACATAAAGGCTGTTTTAAACTATCAAGTGAGAGCATCTAGTAAGACAAGTGTATTAATACTATTTCCAGGCCCAACCATGAATGTTCAGTTTTTCACAGATTAATGGAATTTTGTAAACCAAATGCAAACTAAAATAATTACTTCCATGGTCTTACCTGTGTGTATCCTAACATGTCGTGTTAACTGACTTGGCTTCTGGAACGTCTTTCCACAGTGAGGACAGGAATAAGTAAATCCACTTCTATCAATATTTCTATTATAAGATCTGGTATTTGATACCCTGTAATTTTTTAAAAAAATAATAAAATCCTCTTAATTGTAATATTAAACATTGTTTTGAAAAAGTGGATTTTACCCCATCATTTTTAATATAGTGTAAATCTAGTGATAACGTAAAGTATCAGCTCCAATAGTTAAAAAAACAACTCTTTGATTATACTAAAAGAACAATGTAAATTAAGCACTTTTCTAAGTGCATAAAAACCACAAGAATTTTACAGTTATTTCTATAATAAAATTCATATTTCTTAGAGCTTTTCTAGGGACATTTCCACTGCAAATTCTGCTAGAAGTATATAGTGACTTCACAACTACTATTTTGGTGGGGACTTCCGACTCTGTGAAACTTTACTTCTTTTACCTGAACAAAAGACTTTTATTCTTAATTAGAATAGGAAGATCTCACGAACTACAACACAAATGCGGTCACTGAGGTCAAACAAAAACAGGTTAAGAATTTAACAACCCTAATATTCACCAGTGCTGCTCAAATACAAATCACAATCTCTACAGATAATATGAATTCCCATAACTCATTTTTCTGCAAATAAAACCAATTAGTTTAAATGACTGCTGAAAAACAGCAACCTGAGAAAAACCAGCAACTTATGTCGAAAATCTAGAGATATTAAAAGTCCACGACATCAACTCAGCTAAAGAAGGTGAAACCAGAAGGCAATATGCTATCTAGAGCACTCCACATTTTCCATAGTGCCTGAGTATTTGCACCTATACAGTAATCCAGCTTTTCAGGAGCGGTTAAAGCTAACTGAAACTACACAAATTTAAGTACCTCGCATTTTTCTGAATGACTGAGAAGTAAAAATTAGCTAACGGGGAGCAAATGTGAAAAACACACCACCACCCTGACACACTGGCTGATGTAACAATGCAAAAAAAAACAGCAGAGAAGTAACAGCCCATGCATAATATAGAAAATCACTAAGCTTCTGCTCAAATGATGAATCTTTCCACCCTAATGGAGCAAAGATATTTAGTATATATATGTAGAGGAAAAGCATTTTCCCTTCCAATTACTTCAAAGAAATACTACATGTGTTTTTAAAATCTTTTTATACTCTTGCAGAAAGAGCATAGAGTTTGGATAATATATTTTTCTTTTACATACTAATTATATCTATCAAAATTGATTGAAGTATCCAGAGTAAAACTGATTGAAGATTGCAGCGTAGGACAAAGGACAGCACAAATGCCAGAATCTCTTCTTTCCATCTCAGGACAGATCTAGACCTGCCTGATAGCAAGAATACGCTCTCTGATGAGCAACATCTCTTTCAAACAAAGCCATGGCATTTTAATAAAGGAAATAATATCAAATTTGGAGACAACTGTAGGGACAATTCTTCAAGATCAGATCATCTAAAATATTTCATAATTTGGAGTTACGACCATTTTCATTTTTAGCAAAAGGTAGCTACTAGAATTAAAACTTCATAATAGTTCTTCATTCAAATGTTTCAAAGACAATGTAAACACCTTTCTGGGAAGAAAAAGTGCAACTACTTTACAAACAAATCCCTAAACTTAAGGGACCAAGGCTCTTCAAAGATTTAAATCCTGACAATTTTTTGAGGCTTATTTTACAACGAAAACCAGTAATAAAATACTAAGATTTTTAACTACTGATGTATGTCTTTGAACTTTATATACAGTCTGCAAACTTTAGATATACTTAAACAGGTTAGGTCAAATGTTAACTATTCATAATTCACCTGAATAATATGAAAGCATTGTGTCAAATAATAAGTGGATGATTTTTAAATCAGAATGTCCACGTTTTTCCTTTCAAAATCATTTCAGCTGAAATTCAGAAGATGGAGCAGGGTAACTTATGTGTCCTGGTTTGAACTTAACAGACCCAATTCTGTTCACTGATTTTTACTTTTCAGCTCAGTCTCTTCTAAAAGGCTGCACGTTCTGAAGTTCGCAGCATGTTTTTGCAGACAGTGTGTGCTACTGGCAGTGATAACACCTGATGTTTGCAGTAACGGCCTGGAACCGGAATGCAAAAAGGCTCTTGCTGATACTTAATTCCTATAGTGACGAAGGTCACTGCTGGATCTTGTGTAAGACATTGTGGGTGCTGGGAAGTAAAACAGTAGCAAGGAAGTAAAAGGTTGCACCTCCAGGGAGGAACAGACAGGACATGCAACCCAAATGTGACTGACAAGAGTATTCTATTCCATAGACATCATAATCAGTATGAAGCTGAGGGTTCATGGGGGTTAGGCTCTCTTTCTCTTCCTCTTCTTTGACGGCCAGGGTCAGAGGACAACTCCATCTGTTCTTCTGGCTTCGATCTCGAGTTCCTCAATCCAGCTCGCCTCTGCCACTGGGCCTGGGGCTTCCCTGGTGCTGCCTGCTCTGCAGCATCAGTTGGGGTTGCTACTGGGGAGGTGGGGGGCAGTTGGGTTCAATATGGTTTAGTGTATTTCATTATTTTCATTATCTCCTTATTATTACTATTACTGTTATTGTTTACTAAACAATACTGTTTTAGTTTTCTTCTCCAATCTGCCTCATTCCCTTTTCCCTCCCCTTTAGGGAGGGAGAGGACTTAGAGAGCATCCAGCAGCTCTCAGCCTCGGCATGAGGCAATTCCTTAACCTGGCTCACATAGGGAGCTTGTATTGGCACTGGCTTGTCAAAGGACCATAAAGCCACATTACAGACAGCAGCTACTGCATCACATTTCTACATAAGAACTGATAAATAAGATTAATCTCACCCAAGGAAATTCTGAATCCAGAACCATGCTTATGAAAATAAGCAAATTAGCATGGAGCGATTATATCTCATTTTTATCTAGAATGTGTCACATATAAATACTCTTTCAATATCACATCCATCATATTATTCATGCATTCTTTATTTATTCACCCTTACAGAGGAGATGTCCACAACAATAACATTTTCTATGTCAAGTTATATAACTCAGCAGAAACATAACTTAAGATCTCACAACTTGCTTCATCTGCTAATAAAAACTATTGGAAATACTCAGTATTTCTCCTTTCTAAATATAAATTTTTCTCATATTTTTTTTATAGAAATAAAGATTAAAATGGAGATCAAATTAGGCTTTCTTAATGTATAAACTAAAGCAACAGAAATAATTTCTTCTTCTTCTAACTTAAATTTCCATCTTCCTAAAAGCGAATCTAAACTAGAGAGCTGAAAGAAAAGACAACAAATTTTCTCTGAAGGTAAGAACAGTGTTTATTCAGACTGGTTTTTCTCTTCATTTTTTCCTTTCAGATTTACAAGAAACTCCCAGCAGGTAGTGGTGAGGACTACCTGCAAAAGAATTAAACTGCAAGGAATAACATTTCTTTGCAGAAAGTAAGTATTAGGGGTTTTGCCATTACAGTAACTGCTACGTAAAATTATTATATATTTGCTTCACTGCACTGCCATTAGCTTTAAAAATCACACAAACACTTCAAAAAGCGCTCTACCAGAAAACCTTAACCTGTGTTTCCAAATAGCTAGTAGATGGAACCATGCTTAGTATGAGGGCCTAAATACAAAAAGGGGGGGGGGGAAGGCCTCCAAAATATCCACCTACTTCAGCAAAACAACAAATGCCATTTCGTAACAGCACATCAAAGACAAGAAACGATCTGCATAGCTCATGGTACTTTGCTGACTGGAAATGCTACTCCTCCTTTTCCCAGCTATCACCATAAAAGTAACATCTGCTCATTTTGTTAGACTCCCATGATTTTCACCTTATTTTATAGTGAGTTTTCATATGCTCCTTCAGCTGTGAGGAAGTTTCAAATTCCTTTTTGCACGACTTGCAGCTGTGGATTCTACTGCCTGCCAATTCCTGACGATGTTCTTCCATGTGTATGGACAGCTGACTCTGTAAAGTAAATTCATCTCCACACTCTGAACAGATAAGATTCTGAAAGAGATAATAGAGACTGATTTTTCAAAAGGTTCCCAAACAGCAGTACACATGCACAAGCTTTGCTCAAGTAAATTAATGCATCCTTCTATGGACATCAGCAGCTGCAACAGAAGTATACAAGCAAAAAAATGTTTATGAGCACCGTAATATAAATAATGAACAAAAATTGCTACAAGCTTATGGTAATATTTGTATTTTAAGAAACTCCGCTGAAACTGAATTCTGAAAAAGTTCTTACGGCAGCAGGAACAAGCCATTCACTATCATCAGCAGCACTCCCTCTTCTCTTGGAAGGCTAGTTCAAGTCACACACAGAAACTTACCTCAGTGCCATTATGCTATGGTCTACAGAAACGTCCGTAAAAACTAGCACTTTCTAACCAAAGCCATCCTAAATGTAGATGCAGGGATTTTCCACTTTTACTGCTGAAATGATACAGATGGCCACATGCTTTTTAACAGTAATCTCAGCAGTTACTACTGACTTTTCTTAAGCTATCTTCACAAAAAAGATGACAGAAATAAACAGGGACACACTATTTTTGGTAGATAGGCTTGCAATCTATTAATTTTACAGCAATGTTAAACATACCACTTTGCAGTTGTATTAATATTCCATGTCATTTACAATGGAAATAATATTTGCAAAGTTTATTGTGAAAGCATTGCCTTTTCTCTGAAATTCAGAGGAATAAAAGTCAAGTATTGTTTCAATGAAAACTAAAAGCTCTGCATTTATTTGACTTCCTTTTGGTTTTCAAAACCACGAATTTTATTTCCCAGTTTATCTTTATTTTATAAAATGTAAGCAGAGAGTTAGGATTAAATGTCAAAAAAATATTCACCATCTATTTAGCAACACATTTGTTACAGGTCTCCTTACTGGTGTGTGCTTAAGAAACTTCACAGTTTTTGTCTTGGTTCATTTTTCAGTAATTGTTATTATCACTGCAAATGGAAATGTTTTGTTTACCCTCCTCCCCTTTTTTCCCTCCTTGAATGAGCAACAGGGGGGGGGAAAAGAAACCCACCACTGTGTTCATTTAAATAAAGATACAGATAAACATGTTTTAATCAAGAGGAACAAAGACATGCAGTGCTGCTTATAAAATGCTTTGACAATACATTTGTTCCCTAAGTCTGAGAAAATTATGTAATATCGAAATTATGTAATATCGCCAGACAACATTTCCATAGAACATTCCATTTTGACACCAAGTCAAAAAGTAGCAGCAGATATCACCCATCAAAAATCCTCCACAAGGTTGAACATATCCAGTGTATAAATATGCCCCTTACAATTTCTTAAAGCTACCTAGAAATGAGGAATTTCAAACATGGTGGGTTTTTTTTTCCATTACACCAGTTTATTGCACTCGCATCACCAAAGAACATGAGGAGAAAAGTTAGTCTCTTGCAAGTAACTTCAACAGACCGGAAAATTCCTTCTGGAACCTCTCAAAGGAGCCATCAATCATGAAAATCTGCATTTCAACACAGGCACCCTCCCCCAAACCTAACTGGAGAGTTCAAGAAGCTAACCACACTAGTTTCTTGTTACTGCTCTCCCGCACTCACCTGTAGATAAAGCTGGCTGATGCAGCACAAAACAAGGCTGAGGTTACCCAAGCCTCAGCTTCGCGCAGTAAACTCCTCAACTGCTACACAGGTTCCCTGAGTATGTATCTTTGCTCTGTTTTCAGATTTTCAACCCTCTAAACAGCAAATGTAAGAAGAGCAAACAGAAGGGAGCTGGTACTCCACTGATAACTTCTTTTCCTGTACATTATTCTAGAATAACATCTAGTGCCGTCATAAAGACTCTCTGCTTCAAGTTCAAACTCCAGCTCTCCTACAGGCCCTGTGCGTAACTATCAGGCAAGTAATTCTTGCAATTCTCCGTGAATTAATTGTTACATTTGTTTCTCTTTACCACAGAACTATATGCATTATAAGAATACATTTATTAGCAAGTGAAAGATGTTCATACTTCCATAAATTTAATTTTCAAGCTGCAGATTCAATTTTAAATTGGAAGGCGTCACACAATCTATCCTGACATCTGCACCAAGTATTAAAATCGGAGCTGCTGAAGGGGATGAAAAATCACTTAGTGAGAGAAATGAAATCTAAAAATCACTCTTCGGCATCTTTCTCAATGGTCAGTTTCTTTATTCTAATGTTGTTAGCAATTCATAAATCAGGTTTTCTCAGTAAGCTATATATCATTATAGATACATTAACATGCAACAACACTGTACTCAAGTCCTCTCATTTTAAATCAGTTATGGACACAAAAAAAATGTGAACTGATAACAAGATTAAAGAAGGAATATATTCATTCTCTATAGATGACAGCTCCTGCCTGGTTTAAGGAAAAATGCAAACAGGCCAAAACCTACTGGTTAGAACTGCTACAAAGCTGCCTGCAGTTGGTACAGAGAAACATACTATTGCTATGACTAGAAATCTGGCAATAAAAATTCCTACTTGAGTCAGCTCCAATTCTCCAATGTAAAGCACAATTTTCAAAAAAGCATTCACCGGAGGAAGAAATAATTACGTGATTGAAAACTTGGTATTTTGGGCAGTACAATCAACTCCAGCAACTGCAGTAACACAGTAATGACTATCAAGTGTGCAAAATACTACTATGCATTAACTGTTTGCTAAGAATTGAATCAATACCTTATAAAAATGAAATTGTGAGAGGGAAAAGAACAAGAATTCCTCTCAGGTAAAATAACTGCTAAAAAAAAAAAAAAAGTGAAAGTTCGAGATAAGGGAACAGCTTCGTGATGCAAGAAAACAGATGGTGACAGTGCCTCATCATGACATCTGTCAACAAAAATGATCACCCGAACTATTACATGTGGACTTATCAAGGCATATGAAATCACAGAAATTGCTTCAAAATAAAAGTATTTGTAAATAACTAATCAGTTAGTAAAGACAGGATGGGAACACTTGTTTATATCCAGTGTATTAATTTCTGCTACTATTACTAAAACAGACTCCTCACGAAAAGTTTTGTACTTCTTCGGAATGAGACAATTTACTCAATCCTCCAACCTAAAGCACACAGATACAACCCTTATGATATGTCTTTTCAAAATATGTTATGATTAATGAATTACCTCTTCTTTCTCATGTAGCATTATATGAGCTTTCAGACTGGCTACTCTGGAAAATTTTTTGTTGCACACAGGACACGTAGGATCTTCACCATTGTGAGTACATTTATGAAGTGTCAGGTTGAATTCAACATTAAATGACATCGGACACTGGTCACATCGGTGAGGCTGTTTGTTAAAATCACAAAAAAAAAGACAAAATTCAGTCTTACCATAAGTTAGATATACCCTGGGTAACACACATAAACATAAAAATCAAAATGTTTAAAATAAAAAAGAGCAATTCAAGTACCTACATTTGATAATATCCTTAATACTAGTCTTAATTATTTTTTCTTCTTTGCATCTGACTACTGAAAATGCAAATAAGGCATTTCAAGAGCATATGGGGAAAGCAGGCAGAGTAATTTAAGTAGGCAGAGACTCACAATTGAGACTGTCCAAGAAGAGTAACATCAGGACATTAGCAGGAGAGAAGAATGAGCAAGAGGCAGAAATAAGTCTTCCTACTTGAACTGAAATTGTAAACTCTCATTTAAGCAAAATTAATAATCGAACCAGCAAAGCAAAGAGCTTAGTTTATGCTATGGTTGACTGCCCTTCAGTTGGTATACGCACAATCAATTTCCATACTTTAAGTCAGTTCAGTCTTAACCACATTTTTCTCATTCTTTCCCAAATTTGATCTGTAAGCAGCTGACTAATACATACATACTAGATGAGGTTGCTTCACATTACTGAAACCATCTATAAGACACTAGCGGGGTCCAGTTATTCAGTATAAATATTATTTTCTTTTACTGCTAACGTGTAGAATTGTTTGCAAATTTAACTTCTCATCTACCTGAGTATTCCATAAATCAAAGAAAATGGCTAAAATAAAAAAAAATACCGAACTGAAAACATCAATCCAACTAAATGGCAAAGTCCTGTCTCAAAGGAAACATGAAAGAGAAGTTTCATAACGTCTGAGGACCCCAAGTACTAATTTCTAGTGATACAATGAAAAAAAAAGAAGACAATGATTTCTTATGCTGGCTCTACTTGTCAATATAAAAAGACATCAATATACAGTGGTATTACCTAAGTTTATATCTAGTAAAATTCCTACCTTGTCATTTTGCTCATGATCCCTCATATGGCGCTGGAACTGGGTCTCTCTTGGAAACGACAACAAACAGATGTCACACTTATGGAAGCTAGGTACTTGGTAGGGGAAGTTGCTGTTCTCATTCGGTGTCAGAATATCATCTACAAAGCAAGCACCAAAACGTTCGTATGAGGTAACATTTCATTTACTTATGATTTATTATAAAACCCAGAATTCTCTGAACCAGAAACTGTTCAAACCCCTGTAAGATATTTTACTTATACAAGACTGTAACTTCACTAGATCTTCAAGGTCTTTAAACTTTACTGCTTCCATTGACACAGAATCAAAGGAGTATATCCATTCCTCTAACTGCTAGGTGCTAAGAAGACAAATAACAATCTTCTAGTTATCTGAAATAAATTCTTTCTGTGCTTCATAAGGACTGATCAAGTTTGCAACAAAATAAAATGCTGTCAAATATCCCATGTATGAGTAAAAGATACTGTCAGGGGATACTACCAGGATATTACATCATATTTTTCTGAAAAAAAACTTTTAAAATACAACACTCAGCACATTTGACTACACAGGTTTTCTGCTCTCTCCTGCTTCTCTCTCTCTTATTTTTTGCCTTTGGAAAACATGCCTAAAGGTTTCTTTTCTTCTATTTCTGGCAATGCAAAGCCTTTACTAGTTACCTTTACAGTCATAAAGCAAAAATCTATGTTTCAAGTAGGTGAGAAATGCAATAAACTGCAAATCAAACTGTGTACACAAGCACTGAATAGAAAAAAATATTATTTTTTTCATAAACCCAGTCTGAGCCTATACAGTTTTCTTGAACTCCTACAGTCACACAACTTTTGATATTAAAGTTGCAAGTTTCTACATCATAGAATGGCCTAAGCTGGAAGGGACCTTAGAGATCATTTTAATCCAGCCTCCCTGTCACCAGGGACGCCACCTCTTGACTAGATCAGGCAACACATGGGGACCGAACGGGAATCAAACCCACAACCTTGGCGTTGTTAGCGCCACGCTCAACTGACTGAACTAACATCCTCCTGCTCAAATGACTGAAGTCAGCCCTATTAATATTTTCCTTATTATATTAAATATTTATCCAAGTTAAACACATTTTACACTTGAGAAGATACTGCATTACCAAGAAATTTATCCTTATTTTAAAATAAATTTAAGAAAAGCAATTGTCAGGAGAGGTTAAAATATGTAAGATCAATCACGGCAGTATACGTAAAATGACAATAAAAATCAACTTGCTAGTGCTGCAGATTAAGGACACTAAAGAGAAAAAAAAACAACTCAGAGAGTTCAGTTTCAAATACTGTCACAACTCAATGAAGTGCATCAATGACAATCATAGAATGCAACAGGATGTGGGGAGGGGGGGGGAAGGAATGTTGATTTTTTTACCTAGACATGCAAGGCCTGATGTTTCCCTTTAAGAAAACCAGTACTTCTCACCACGTATGTAAGAATTAGACATAGGAAGTAACAACATAACTAGGAGTTTACAGCATCCTGTTTACATTTCCTCAGAGGAAACCAAAGATTACAATTCATACAGTATTTCTGCTCAGTATTGCAACCACCTCAAATTCCTGTCTCATTCAATACACCATTTACAAGGGTAAAAAACCCAATAAATCACCAGTACCTTACATTCTGACCACCTTTTTTCCCTGCTAAAACTCACATTAAAAAAAAACATAAAGAGCTTGCAGTTGAGGAAGCTCTAGGAAACATTTCACCACGAGATATTTTCTGCAAGAAATCACAACTAAAAACAGTGTTCTGGAGGCTTATACTTCCCACTTACGGATTAGTGTTGCCCAGTTCTGCTTTGCAAAGCTTAGCTATACATCCTTCTGTTAGAAATACTTTGGTTAAGTATTAGCAATCTTTAACTTGTATGAACTTAAACCTACAGAATTCTTTATTTTGAACTGTGAATTCATAGTATATTCAAACCCTATCAATAACATGTATCCTTTCCATCCCTGAAACGATCACAACTCCTCAAAAACTGAAAAGCATAGCTTTAATTATAAGTCACTGTCTTGTAAGCATCCTTTTCGTAATATATCTGAGTAGAATAAAGGGCTCAAAATCAGCTCCTCTGTATATTGGCATGACAAGAAAGAGATGTGAAAGAAAAATCTATTCCAATACTTTACAGAATCATAGAACAGTTTGGGTTGGAAGGGACCCTAAAAACCATCTAGTTCCAACTCCCCTGCCATGGCAGAGACATCTCCCATTAGATCAGGTTGCTCAAAGCCCTATCCAACCTGGCCCTGAACACTTCAAGGGAGGGAGATCCACAATTTCTCTGGAAAAGCTACTTCAGCGTCTTAAAACCCTCGCAAGAAAGCTCTTCTTTACACCTAACCTAAATCTACCCTCTTTCAGTTTAAAGCTATTACCCCTGGTTCTATGACTACTTGCCCTTGTAAAAAGTCTTTCCTCAGCCTTCCTGTAGGCCCCCTTTAGGTAATGGAAGGCTGCTAGAAAGTCTCTTCTCCAGGCTCGACAATCTCAACTTCCTCAGCCTTTATTCATAGGAGAGGTGCTCCAGTCCCTCTTCATGGCCCTCCTCTGGACCCATTCCAACAGGCCCATGTCCTTCTTATGCTGGAGTTCCCAGAACTGAATGCAATAACTGCAGGTGGGGTCTCACAAGCGCAAAGTAGAGGCAGAGCATCACCTCCCTTGACCTGCTGGCCACACTTCTCTTTGCACAGCCCAGGATGTAATTGGCATTCTGAGCTGTGAGCGCACATTGCTGGCTGATATTAAACTTTTCATCCACCAACACCCTCAAGTCCTTCTCCGCAGGGCTACTCTCAATCCACTTATCACCCAGCTAATGTGCACTTGGCCTTGTTGAACTTCATGAGGTTTGCATGGGTTCACCTCTCAAGCCTGTCAGAGTCCTTCTGGATGGCATCCCTTCCCTCCAGTGTGTCGACCACACCACACAGCTCAGTGTCATCAGCAAATTTGCTGAGGGTACACTCGTCCCACAGTCCATGTCACCAACAAAGATGTTAAACAGCACCAGTCCCAATACCAGCCTCTGAGGAACATCACCTGTCACTGGTTTCCACTTGAACATAAAGCCATTGATTGCAACTTGTTGAGTGCAACCATCCAGCTAATTCCTTATCCACCAAGTAGTCCATCCATCAAATCCACGTCTCTTCAATTTAGAGACAAGGATACCATGCAGGGCACTACCAAATGCTTTGCACAAGTCCAGGTATGTGATATCAGTTGCTCTTCCCTTATCCACCAACGCTGTAATCTCATCATAGAAGGCTACCAAATTTGTCAGGCACAACGTCCCCTCGGAGAAGCCATGCTGGCTGTCGCCAGTCATCTCCTTACCTTGTACATGCCCCAGCACAGCTTCCAGGAGGATCTACCCCATGATCTTGCTGATCATAGAGGTCAGACCGATTGTCCTGTAGTTCCCTTTTTAAATATGTGTATTATGCTTCCTCTCCTATTTCTGGAGAGGGCTCACCTGGACTATACGAAAACTTAATGCACAAAGCTTTCCTTTCCTTTAAAAAAAGGAGTAATTCTTCAACCCATGAAGGCCTGACATCACACTTCAAATTGATAATTGAAAAATAATCCAATCCAGGACTTTAGAAAGGTCTTTAAACCTTCTCCACAAACCAAACAGATAATTATCTTCAAACATTCACTCTTAATATTATACAACAGACAAAAACAACGTCTAAGCAATTGAAATGGTTAAATAGCAATGAAATAATCAAAGCTGCTAACTTCTCTACAATTTGAAACACAGAAAAAGCAACATGCCCACTAGCATCTGCTTCATATTACCAAATTACTTACTTGTTAGGTCAATAACATTTTTTTATATCGTTTTCATTAAAATGGGTATCATATCTGTAGCAACCGCAATACTGATTAAGCTACAAACCATGAATTTTCTTCTGGAATTCAAAAAGGCATTTAAATTAACTATATACTAAAGAAAAATTAAATATCCCTGTGACTTTTAAACAGAATTGTATAATTTTAAGTGTATGAAATAATACCACTTGACATAGAGTTATACAGGAAGAAATTTCAGCTTTTCTTTAAAAAGAAGGAAATGATCACTACTAAAATAAAAAGAAAGGAGTAACAAAAGCATAATCTTAAAATATTTCATAGGAAAGAACAAAGAAACGACCCAAACTTTGGAAAATGAGAAGCTGAGTACATTACATTCTGTATCGAAGCGTGAGCTTCTCAAGAGCAGTCCATAAGTGATTATAAATTCTGTGTTCCCTGCAAGCCTTTCTACCCTCCTAACATCCCTCAGACCCCAAGAACAGAGAGAAGGTACACAAAAAATCTGTTGCTTACGTCTGGAATATCTTAAACATTTAGGGGGCTGGTTAGCTCAGTCAGTTGAGCGTGGCGCTAACAAGACCAAGGTCGTGGGTTCGATTCCCCTTTGGTCTCCCTGTCTTGCCCGATCTAGTCAAGAGGTGGCGTCCCTGGTGACAGGGAGGCTGGATTAAAATGATCTCTACGGTCCCTTCCAGACTAGGCCATTCTATGATTGTGCTTTCAATGGAAACCTTTGTAACTCTTCGCAAAGCCAAATCTTATGCTTCTTTGGTCCCACCTTCATACTGCTAAAGACGAAGAAGAAAAATGTCTGGGAGTCAGGACTGGACCCTAGAATGAACAACTGGACTGTCCAGCTTGAAGGCGGCAGAGGACTCTTACTGCAGAAAAGCCTCTAAAGGCCTTCAAGGATAAGGCACCACAAATCAATTTAGGTTACATTCCAGAAATCTTCAAAGGCCCAACTCTTGGAAGACCAGGCTAAAGACTGCTCTAAATAGTTACAGCTGGTATGAACAGAAAAACAGTCCAGTTTGATTTGAAAGAACATCGAAATTCAGTTGTTTCACTTCCACTCACAGGCCAGGACAGAGATCTAACACAAAGTAAAATCAAAACATAAATCCATTTATTCATTAATACTATGTCTGAACCAGCTTAAGGGAAAGATTAGACTTTGATAATATTTTTTCCCCTTATATTCTTGATAAAACACTACTTGGTCCTCTATTACCAGTCAAATACTGGGTGATCCTGAGAGTTGCACAGCCCCCTTCAACAGAAGATGCAGGAAGTGACTTTCTATTTTACTCTTCCCTTAGTAACAAGGAGAGCATTCAGAATAATATCCGTATTGGATTCAGGCAATTGGATAACAGCAAGGACAAAACTGTTATATTGGGTTTAGAATTGAAAAAAAAAACCAAAACAACAGAAAACCAGAGAAGATACTGTCAATTAAAAAACTAAGGAAGCTGTATTTTAACTTTTCAGGGAAGTGTCACAGACTCATAACATATGACTCCGGTCTGTCTTCATTTTAATGTACAAATGAAATAACAGTTTGACAGAGTTTTTTGTTAGAAGAATTAATAACCAAGTGAAGACACTACATATGCTAGTAACTCTACATCATAGCAAGTCAAATAACCTATGTTACCGTATGCAGGGACGTCAGCAATAAAACTCAGTTGTATAATCATTTTTTTCCCTTACATCAGAGAAAAAAAATTTTTTAGATGCTTTGGTTTGAGTTGTGAAACAAGCCAAATACTGTAAAATACTGAACCCATCTCAGAGGCCAGTATTTCTGAATACCCAAAATCACAGAGATGATGCCAATTCAGGGTGTGGCAGTGGGCTATGGATCCTGCAATTTTCAAAGCACTGAGAAATTTGCTAATTTTGAAAAAAAAAAAATCTCTACACATTCCCTGTGTATCAAAGGGAAACCAAGTGAAAGTACTAACATACATGACATAGCATCTGATGGTCACAACTCATTCGAGTAGCAACCCTATCACATATAGCTAATATGGTGCCTATGCCCTAAAAAATACAAATATTAAGTACACAGATTAAGCAATTTATTTATTGTCAGATATACTCTGCCCAGACAAAACCACAATCCTTCTGTCTATTAAGGACGTAAAAAAATGCAATTCAAGTGAACACAGAATTAAAAGTTTCAGTCTTTAGTTAGAGAAGACATTAACTGATTAAGCATATAAAGTTAACGAAATCACATGAAAAAACAGCATGTTCTCACTAGAGAGAAGCTACTTACTGACATCCATAAACAAGCACACAGAGAGAAAATACAAACTGAATTACCAGTGTAACAAATCCCTTGAAAAATACGTGATTCTTTCAGGTCTGCACACTACAACAAATGACAAACCTCGCTGAACAGCTACAAAGTTTAAAACACTACCATTTACTAACTATATGAAAACAGTGCAAAAGCTATTGTCATTTTTTCTCTCCCTAGTTGGCGTGTTTGTCTAGTTGCAACATAAATCCATCACTTCTTGAGACAAGTATCAATACCATTAAGCTAAACAGGAAGCACTTGGCTCATCATGTACTGTTAAACATACATTTTGTCTGTATTCTTACAGTTTGTCCCAAGTGCCCAGAAATACCAGAATCAGATTTGCAAACTACCTATCAATGATAATAAACTTTCCATTTAATGATGGACTCATTTAAATAACTCTTAATGTTACAGCCTTTAAGTTCTTTTCAAATGAATTGACCCTCGCAAAGCAGCAGCAACCAAGCTTCGGGTTAACTCAGCTACAGATTTCTGTGATGCAGTCTTCCTGAAAACCCGACCTCAAGAGGTGAGTCAGCAAGCAGGTGCTCACCACTATAAGCCATCGATGACAATACAAAGTCAAAGGAGGAAGACAGAATTAGAGCATTCCCAGCCATTCACCCCTTATGTAAGCAGCACTGTGCTGCTCACAGCAGCCTGCGGTCCTCCTCTCTGCAAGGCACAGATGGACTCATTCAGCTGTAAATGCAGCACAGCCTTATTAGATCTCTAATAGCCCACTCGCATCCGACTGAGAGGACGCTGAGAATACAACGCTCAAGCTGGCAGAATTCATGGATGAAAACTTGTCACTGAAGTTAGATGGCAGCTGGCAAGTCCAGGGACAAAAGGGTCTGACCCCATCAAAACCTATTTAGTAATTTATGAGTGGAAAGAAAGTGGTAGGACAAGAGAACAAAATGGCAACACTGACATTTCCTCATACTACAGCTGAAGTCATAAAACACAAATGATAATGAATCATTAAAACATTTTGCTTAGTTCTGCAATCATAAAAGAATTAGGTTAGCTTAAACGTAGCTCAGCACTCTTAAACAAAAGGAGCAAACAGTCATTCCTCATGACTTCTAACAGGAGAGGCAGAAGAAAGACTCAATTCTCAGACCAAAATCCAGAAATCAGTCAAGATTTGCTCATGTATGATAAGATAGTTTTGTTATGTTTTCATCAATACTCAGTCTGGAATTTCATATAGTACCAGTCCAGACACTTCCAGGAGCACACTGCTGGGATGGATGTTGAGGTCCAATTGTTCCCCATTTGCCAACACAAAGCAGCTGCACTCCTTTAAGGGCCACAGATGATTCCAGAAGTTGCACAAATGCACTGATGCACTGCAGCCAGCTGAGAAGCCTGACAGAACACAGAATTAACAGCTCTGTCAAAGCTGTCTAGATGCTAAATAGATCACACTGGGTCTGGCTGGTTGCAGGTAACTTTCTTTGCAGCAGCCGCTATGATACTGTTTTGCATTTGTTACTGAACCAGTGCTGGTAACACATGAACATTTTAGCTATTGCTCAACAGGCTGAGGGTGGGAGAGGACAGCTGCCACAAACTAACCAAAGGGATATTCCATGCCACAGGACACCATGGTCAGGATACAAACTCGGGAGGTAGCCCTTCCAAGTTGGTCTTTGCCCAGAGACTGAGTATCACCCTGACTGTGAGAAGTGGTGAATCCTTCCCTTTGCACCACTTGGTTGGGTTTTTTTCTTGGCTGGCTGTTTGGTTGTTGTAGATTTTTTTACCTTTTTCCTTCATTTACTAAACTGTCTTAACTCACAATTTTTTCTTGCTTTTGCTATTCCAATTCTCTCTCCCACCCTACTGCAGAACAAAGTGAGCAGTGGCTGGAAGGCACTTAATTGCTGGCCAGGGTCAACCCAGCACATAGATATACCATCAACATTACCCTAATCTACACAGGTAACCAAAAAGTGGCATTTTGTTAACCAGCTCTCATAGTTTCATCTGACATTCGGGTTAATATTGCTGTATTTATTGCTAAATATTTTAAAACAGTAGTTCTACCTTTTTTGACAGCTGCATACAAACATACTAAGATAGCAGGTTTCATCTGTTTATGATTTGGACATCTCATGCTTGAGACCTTGACCCTTACCTGTGCCCAGTCACTACACTGTTAACAGAAAACTTTTGAA